CGCCACAGGCAATGAGCCTGATCAGGAAACCTGGGATCTGCCCCCTGCCCCAACAGTAACTTACTACATGACCTCGGGCAAGTTCCTTTTTCTCTGGGCTTTGGTTCCTCTCACCTGATAAAGGAGGGTAGACCAGACCACTTCCTTCAGCGTTGGAAGTTCTGCTCTGCAGAGAGATGGGCAGAATCTCAGGGAGGTGGCACCTGGCACAGAAGGAGGTGGCTCATAAGTGACAGCCAGTCCATACCGGCCTGCCCCTGCCAAGGAGTGGCAAAGCCCGTTCTCCTTTGAATACCTGGCCTTCCTTATGCAGAATGGATGCTAAGTGCTACCTCTGAGTCAGGCGCAGAGTAAGCCCTCATAGGGAGTACCATTAAATTGTGACATGTGTAGACTGGAATCAGACAATTCCTGGTTCAAAACCTGACAGTTTGCTTCAGTTCTCCGGCCTCAAATTTTCTCACCTGTAAAATGGGAACAGTAGTGACATCACTGGGTGATGGGTGCAACCTCCTTGAGAGCGGGGACCTTTTTTCCCATCCTGCTGCATCCCCAGTGCCTGCAATAGTTCCTGACAATTGTAGGTTCTCCATACACATGCGTCGAACGGCTATCAAATAAAATGCTCTGTACCCTCCCTGTGTAATATATGCTATTCTTTTTAATGTTACGTTGATTGTTAGTAAACATTGCCTATTCCGTCAATTATCATAGCAACCTTGGGAGATGGGCAGCATTGTTGAGTGACTTACCACACAGCTAGGAGATAGCAGAGCCAGAGTTCGAATCCAGACGTGCCTCACCCCAGGCCATGCTCTTCACATGTGCCACCCCAGGGGGAGCACATCACCTGTCTGCCTCCTTTCCTCCCTTCTATGCCACCTTTGAAGCTCCTCCTAATTCCTTCTCACTTGGATGCAAATTGGGGTTAAGGGGGAGGAAGGAAGGGGTAATAGGGAGATTACCTCCTAGGGCCGCTGGGGATGTAGGGAGGCAGGGTGTGTCCCCTTGGGTTTAGCTCTGAATGGACAAGTTCCCAGGAAGCAGTCTTGCTTAGTTCCTTGAAGGATGCCAGTGGACCAGTCCTGCAGTCACCCAATCGCCTGCTGTCAACTTGCCCTGCCCTGCCAGGGTTCCTCTGTGCAATTTCCTTTGTATCAAGCGCTTAGCAATGAGGGATAGGATGGGGAGCAGAATGGAGAATAGCTTATGAGGTCCCAGCCGCTGGGCCCCCCTCCCATGCCCCTGGTGAAGCTCCGCCATGCTTATATTTAGCAAATTAGATCAACTGAGGCTGCTGGAAGGATAAACAATTGGTGAGTGTTCACAGGAGGGCAGCCAGCAGGACCTGAGGGTGGTGATGGAGGAGGACTCCAGGAACTAGATTCTTAGAAATCCCCCGCTGTCAAAGCTGGGGTTGGCTGTGAGGTGCTGGGACTTGTGCCAGCCTCTCCCCCCCCGACCCCGGGCAGGCTGGGAGGATTGCAACTGTGACATGGGGTGAGTCACCAGGGGCCACAACGGGGGGAGGGGAGGGCCACTGAGTCCTATTGTTGGGAGGACTTCCGGTGTCCTTCTGAGCCTGTGTTTCTCAGATTGTCATCTGCCCTCTCCCTGAAACAGAGTGGCTAGGGGCTCTGTGAGAGCTGCGCCCCTGCTGCACAGCCCGGCTCCAGGCTGCAGTCCCGAGCGTGGCTGTGCAAGGAATTACTGTGGGACTTGTTACGTTCCAATACCCAGGCTTGTAGAATCCAAGATTCCTACATTTGTGTTTATAATGCACTCCGTAGAATGTTCTAGTATAGAACCCTGCGAGCTCTGATCCTAGCAAACTCTGACCCATAGGTTTGGAAGTCACTGCTGGAGACAGTGTAGAGGTTAAGGGCATGGTGTCCAGAATCTACCAGACCTTAAATCTTTGGCCCCAATCTCATGAGAGCTTGTTACTTAATCTCTCTGGGGCTCAGTTTCCTCATCTATAAAATGGGACCCATGATGGTACCTCATAGCATTGATGTGGGAATGAAATAAGAAAGATGGTGTCTTCAGATGGGCCGGCTGGGGGTGCTGGTGCCCGCCATTTGCAGCTATCTGTAACCTGGGGATACCTTTCTGACCTACTCTACAGTGCCATGGTTAAGGTCGTGGGATCTGGAGCCAGACTGCTTAGGTCCTTGCTACCTGTGTGAGTTTGGGTTGCTTATTTAACCTCGTTGAGTCTTAGTTTTCTCATTTGCACAATGGGGATAATGTTTGTAAGGATCATGGAAGCTGGTATGCTGAGTAAAATACTCAGCACAGTGCCTGGTCCTTAGCAAAGGCTCACTCATTTATAATCACCGTGATTATTAATATTCACCCTGCACTAAACTTTGGCATCGTCTCTGTCCACTTGGCCCAGAGGCCTATCCAAGTGATGCCCCGTCAGCTCCTCTGGAACTTGCCCCAATCCCTACCTGGAACTTTCCATCACTGGGTGTTATCTCCACAGCCCAACCTGACCTACACACTAGCATTAGCTTGTCTGTGGTCCAGCCCTCTGTGTTTGCAAAGTTCATAGCCATCGGGGAAAACTGAGGTGACGGGAAGGGCCTTGGTCAGTCGAGATGAGAGATAGTTTGGGAACAGGATGCCCGTAGCAGCTCTGCCCTGTGCCCTTTCCTGTCTGGGGTTGGGAGCGGATGTGACCCTTGCTCTTTGCCCCATTCCCACCCCTAGCTGTCCAGGGAGCACCTTGGGTGTCCCACCAACGGGCAGCTGCAGGATAGCTCTGGGACTGCTGTGTCAGCCTGGGCGAGGCCGCCTGGAAGCCGCCAGGCTCCGGACCTGGAATGAGGTCAGGCAGGGATGGCTCCAGGAAGGGCTGCTGCTGATCAGTCTGGCGTGTCTCTCCTGGGAGCATCACAGGCTCTCCCCAAAGGGCAGAACCTGGGTGGGGTCCTGAGGCGCTCGGGTGGGGCCGGAAGCCAACACAGCTGAAGAGAGAGGTCCTTTGAACTTGGAGTGGCAAAGACTGACATGGAGATCATTTAACTTGTGCGTTTTCTGGATGGATGAGAGCCTGAGGTTTTGGAGTACATGAAATGCTGTCGGGGCCCCTGGGCTCAGTGCTGGGTTTCTTCCTCCCCCGGAGTCCTGGGTGCATTCCCTTGTAGTCATGTCACTGCATCAAGGATGGCAAATGGGCTTCTACTCACCCTTCCATTGGTTATTTTAAGTTTTTTTAATCCTCACCCGATGATATGTTTTTATTGATTTTAGAGAGACAAGGAGGGGGAGGGAGAGAGAGAAACATCAGCTGGTTGCCTCCCATACATACCCTGACTGGGGATGGAACCTAAAACCTGGGTATGTGCCTTGACCTGGAATCGAACCCATGACCTTTTGGTGTATGGGACGATGCTCCAGCCACACTGGCCAGGGCTACTCACCCTTCCACTGATTATTTGCACTCTTCTCACCTCACTGATGCAGCCCTTCAGGCAGCTGCGTCCAATCCATCAGTGTTGGGTGATGAGACCTTGCTGCCTCTGTTATGTCCCATAGTGATTCACTCCCATGTCCAGACCCCAGGCTCCGTGAGGGCAGGCACTTTGTTTGTTTTGTTCGCTATGCCATCTTCAGCAACTAGCAGGATGCCTGGCCCATAGCAGGGGCTCAGGAAATATTTGTGGAATGAATGTCTGTCCTCCAGTGGGCTGCGAATTACTCGAGGACAGGGATCATGTCTAGATTACATCTAGTACAGAGTAAGGGCTCAGTGAGTAAATATAATGAACAAATATATCTTTATTCTGCGTTCAAAGCTAGTGTCTATAATCCAGAGAAAGAGTAGACACACTTTCTTGGTTATGGATGTCACTTTACCAAAGAGCTGCCTTGCTGACATGGGCAAGGTGGGGCTAGAAGGAATGCCATCGGTGATGCCTCCAACTCTGGTTTCCAAGGACAAAGATACTTGTCATCCCATTTAATCATCCTGAGAGTCCCCACGAGTTAGTAAATTACCGTTTGCACTTGCACCTGGGAAAACTGAGGTTCAGAATTATTTAAGAGAGTCTGTGGAAGAGCATTTGGCAATTTCATGTTGGAGCTAAGACCAGGACGTGGGTCTCACCTCCAGGCCAGTGTTCTTCCTCTGGTCAGCATACCATCTCCTACTGAGTCCATAAAGTTTTGACCTATGACTTACCATATGCCATATTTGGGTTTGGGAAGCTTTTTGGAATCCTGCTCCTCCCACATTTGTAACTATTAACCGTGCCTGATCCAGCCTTTTTAGAACCTTTGAGCTTCTCTGTGATAAGCTTTAGTACCTGAAAGTGTGTACCACGTTTACACACATGCACATTTCTCTGGAGAGGAAGTCTGAGCTTGCCTCAGCTTTTTGCCAAAGGGCACTGACTCCATAATAAGGTTAAGAACCAGTGGTTAGCCCTGGCCCTTGTGCATAGTCACTAGAGCGTTGGCCCATGCACTGAAGAGTCGCGGGTTCTATTCCCAGTCAAGGGCATGTACCTGGGTTGCAGGTTTGATCGGCAGGGCACTGTGGGAGGCAACCCATCAATGTGTCTCTCTCACATCTATGTTTCTCTCTCTCTCTCTCTCTCTCTCTCTCTCTCTCTCTCTCTCTCTCTCTCTCTCTCTCTCTCTCTCTCTCTCTCTCTCTCTCTCTCTCTCTCTCTCTCTCTCTCTCTCTCTCTCTCTCTCTCTCTCTCTCTCTCTCTCTCTCTCTCCCTCTCTCTCTCTCTCCCTCTCCTTCTCCTTCTCCATCTCCATCTCCATGTCCATCTCCATCTCCATCTCCATCTCCCTCCCTCCCTTTCACTTTCTCTAAAAATCAATGGAAAAAATATCCTCAGGTGAGGATTAACAAACAAAAAGAACCAGTGATCACAACCAACTGTGCCATTTTGCATGCGGGGAAACTGAGTCCTGAGCAAAGGGACTTTTCCAGGGCCTCAGTCTTTAACCAGAGATTCTCTTTATCCTATTGACAGAGGACTGATTGTGGTGAACAGTAACCTCAGCTACATCATCGAGCCCCTCCCCGACAGTGGGGGCCACCACCTTATTTACAGATCTGAACATCTCAAGCTGCCTCCCGGGAACTGTGGGTTCGAGCACTCTGGAAACACCAGCAGGGACTGGGGCTTTCAGTTTACAAACCAGATCAAGAAACGACCTCACCGGGTGAGTTCTCGGTGCGGGAGTCACCTCGGGATAGGCTTGTCCCCTCTGAGGGCCCTTACTTTGGATCCAGGGGTAATTCTGAAGTCAAGGGAGATGGCTAAAAGGAGTAAATAGCTTTTTCTTTCGTTCTGAGTCATCGTTGAGTGTGGGTTACCCTTGTATTTGATAGAATAATGCTTTGGGGAAAACACTACTACATCTAAAATACTCTGAGATGCTAATTTCAGAAACTTCACAATGTGAGGGGGAAAAACCTATACTTCCCATTTTTGAATAGCCTCTTAACCTGATGCCCAAAGTGTTTGTTTACTTATAGAGATATGTGGTTTAAATGGTTTGGGGGAACTTGATGTCAGCATGTCCCACACACAGTGTGTTGGCCTCTGACCTTCCTGGACGAGGCAGCTGGGACTAGAGGACAGGACCCAGTGTCCCAGAGCAACTACCAGCGGTACCCAACATGGCAGGCAGAGGGGTCACTGAGGGGGGTGGTGACCAAGGCTGGAGCTGGCCCACGTGCCCACGTACAAAATTAAACTAGCACCACTGTTTTGAAATGAGGCCATGTCACCATTTCTACAGGCTCTGATGTGCTTGTCTGTCCTTCCCAGATAAAAAGGGAAGACTTGAACTACATGAAGTACGTGGAGCTCTACATTGTGGCTGATTCTGCGGAGGTAAGGGGGAGGCAGTGGCTTTCAGCAGAATTGCTCTTTTAATAGCTTCCATCCCACGCTTCCAACTGCTCTGGGGGAATGCTGAAGCACTCGTCTTTCTCCCGTTTGTCATAGGATTTTGACCTTAACTCTGACCAAGGGCTCTTTTGGCTGTTTTAAACATGGTTGGAGGAGAAAAATAAGGAAAGTCTCTTCTAGCCTGATACATTCATCAGATAAAAAAAAACACAAACAAACCAGTGCAATTGCATTAGTGGGATTACCATTTCTTAGACTGGGTCTGGGGACTTCTAGGTTTTGGTGCTTACTCTTGAGGAGTCTGTGAATTCTCTATAGAAATTTAAAAAACAATTTTTATTTTATTTTTTTGGCACAGATAATAGGTGTATTCTGAGTCATCGGACTTAATACAATTTTCTTGCCCATGTATGGGTCCATTTTTATAATCAGGTTGGCACTAAATGAAAACCGGAAGCTGCGGTTCCCAAAATGTAGTCCCTGGACCAGTGGTATCGGTAGCACCGGAACTTGTGAAAAATGCCAATTCCTGGGCTGTCCCCTAGAACTACTGAATCCTGAGCTGAGGGGCTGGGGTCCAGCAATCTAGGTTTTAACAAGCCCTCTGGGTGATTCCAGTACACAGGCAAGTTGGAGAACTACTGACGCAAAGGGCTAGCTGTTTGGCTTTTACTTCATATTCCTCAAACTAGACAGGTTCTCGCAGGCCTTGACCTTTAAGACTTGATGAACACTCATCTCTCCCTTTCATTTCATTTATTCATCCGTGAGGTCTCGATTCTCTCTTATGTGCCAATCATAGCACTCACAGAACTTGGCCCCAAAAGATATAGACAGACCCGCCCCCGGAGTCACAGAGCTGACAACACCCACAGGGAACTGCATACTGGTTCCAGGTGTGGTAACTGCTAGGCTGCTCCGTTGCAGAGGATTAGAAATGCAGACAATGAGGGTTCCAACACGGTGGCTTTGGAAACTGGCAAAGCTTCTCCAAGGTGGTGAGGTTGAAGTTGACACCCGAAGAATGGGTTCAAGCCCCAGTGCTCCTATTTGCCCAAATTCGCCATATTTTACCTCCAGTTCTCACTTTATGGAGCGACTTGACCACATAGCTAAGCACATCGTCTGGGCATGGAAAACATGAGCAGCTGAGCACTCACTGGGCTCTCCGCGCGCTGCATGCTCGCCTGGGGCTCCCTGAAGCCGAGGCTTATCCAAGCTCCAGGCTGTCTCCTACCCTGTCCAAGTGGTTTAGTTACCAGCTCCCCAGAGGGCCTCCGTCCAAGGCCGCTCTACCAGGTCCACTGTCCCAGAGCTCTGGTCCTGGAGGCAGTGCAGGGTAGTGGGAAGGACACTAGATTCCAGGCCGGACGACCTGCCTTTGGGGGTCAGTGGCAGGAGGAGGTGGCCTTGAGCTGTCCTAAAGGACAGGGTGTTAACTGCGCAGAGAGGTGGAGGCGAAGGGCACTCCAGGCCCGGGGAACATAGTGTTCTGCTTTGAGAAGAGTTTTGCTTTTTAATTGCTGTTGGTATTGGTTTTCTGCAGCCTCTTCTCCCCCTTTTGTTTTCCTTTCCGAAGACTGGTGTGTGTGTGGGGGATGGGGAACGGTGGGGTCAGGATCTAAAGCTGATGCAAAGGCCAAGGCCCCAGGGTCATGGGAGGCGGAAACCTCACTGGCCCCTGGCGGGAGGGTTGCTGGAAGAGCTGAGATCTTCTGACTCCAGGACATGTTTTCATTTTAACTTTGCATCTGAAACCATCCACTACAGTCTCATGAACCAGTTTTTTTCAGCCACAGAATCCTCTGTTCAGAGGAAAGCTCCTGGGACCCAGGAGTTAAGCATATAGAAACACAGCCACTCTATTGTAAAGGTGGGGGACCCTCCTCTGCAGCCCTGCACTCTCCCCAGTGGAATCCTGGGCAGGGTTTAAAAACCCACTGGATGTGAGTCTCTGTAAGTCGGAGAAGAGGGAGCAGGGAAGGGATTGGGCATCTTTAGTCTCTTGACCTCCAGGGTCACAGAAAACGCCCACAAGGAAAACTGGCTGCTCAGGGTGCCTTCAGGACTAAGGTGTCGGCTGGGCCGCCATCCTTTTTCAGAGGCGCTGCCTTCAGCGGCAGCGGGGCAGGCGTTCCTGACAGACAGGCAGCCTTACAGCCTGGGGAGTGCTGCCTGGAGACAGGAACTTGCTTATTTCTCAGGGTCCTGGGCTTTGAATGAGTCATGGGGAGGGGTGGAGTGGGGGATACAATAGGCCGGGCTGGTTCTCAGGCTCACAAGTCCCTCCTCCTCGCCACCTCTCCCCTACTCCCTCTCCCAGCGGCCTCTTGGCCTCAGCCTCTGCAGGCAGAAATGTATTCCTGACAATTAATCTGAAAGGATGGGAAGGCAGGGAGGGGGAGGGCGGCCTTATCTGTGATTTACAACCTGGTGCTTAGGCAGGCCAAGCTCCTCCTCTGGGCTGCACAGGGAGCAGAGACAGGGATAGTGCTGCTGTTGCTGCTAAGAGAGAGGGAGGTGGAGAAGGAGAAGGAGGGAGAGGGAGAGGGAGAGGGAGCAGAACGAAAGCGAGTATTTTCAGCAGTAAAACTGACTAAGCAGCTGCTGGCTCCCTGGGTCTGGTTGGGAGCACCTGGGTGGGTCTCAGCTTATGTCCTCGGGCAAAATGGGAAATCCAGGAGAGGGAAGAGCAAGATGGGGTGTTGCAGAAGGGGCAGGACAGCTGTAAGCGCGGGAATGCCAAGAACTTGCATGATGCAGGCGGAATGTGAGGCCTGTGAGGCCGTTGGGAAAGGCCAGGTGACACACTGTGTTTTACTTTCTTATCACCTAGAAAGTATAAGGTTAAGACAGTCCTTTCTATAGATCAGGGGTCTGCAAGCTATAACCCATGGTCAAATCCAGCCCACACGTTTTTGTAAGCAAAGTTTTACCGACCTAGAAAGTATAAGGTTAAGACAGTCCTTTCAATAGATTAGGGGTCTGCAAACTATAACCCATGGTCAAATCCAGTAAGCAAAGTTTTACTGGAACACTTCCATGCCTACTGCTGCGAGTATTGTCCATGGCTGAGCTAGAATGGCAGAGTCGAGTCGATGCAACAGAGACAATATGGATGCGAAGCCGGAAATAGTTACAGTCTGCCCATTTAAGAAAAAGTTTGTGGCTCCTGCTTGAGACTCTTCTGGATGACGCGGTACATTCCTTAAATGGTGGTGTTGTTATCAGACAGTTGCTTGAAGGTAGGAGCAATATATTAGAAAGGCAATAAAATAGGACTGATTTTATAGTAAATATTCACTAAATCCTGCCATACTTTCTGTGCAGTGAGACCAATTTAGAAATGGGATGACTGTATAATGAGAAGCTTCAGGATTAACACCTCCTAAAGGCTAAGTCACAATGCCTGATACTGACTTGAACTCTTAGAAAACACTAGTGAAAGTGAGGTGATTGACAGTTCAGGTGAGTGACAGCTCCCAGGAAGCCCAGGGAAGTCAGTGCCCAGGAAGAACAGGAAAGGGCGGTTTTCTCCCCTGGGTTATGGCAGAGACACACCCGTCACAACCAGTATCCTTGAGAGCTTTACCTGGATGTCCTTTATTTCTTGTTTGGCTATTCTTGCTGAAGGAGGTGGAGGAAGGGCATGGAGGTTTGGAATTGAAGTAGCACATATAGTTGTGTACCCAAGGTAAATGAGCTAGGTACCCACATTCTGAGTAACAATGATAGCGGACAGGACACGCCCATCGCTTGCAAATTTAGGTCACTTGTGGCAGATTTTATCTTTACACTGCGAAGCTTTCCTTCATTGCAGCTGAAAGGGGCCGATCCTTTTGAAGCAGGAAGGATAGATGTGAGGCTGCATCATGAAATGCCTTCTTCCTGGTACCCATGGCGGACATTTCCAGTCGGGCAC